TATCTATCAATCAACTAACAAATAGTTCTATCCCAGCACCTTGTCTACTGCCAGTCCCATAACAGGCATTCAAATATTCTTTAAATGAGGGAAGGGAGAGGATTCCATGCAAGAGTCATGATGTGAACAAAAACAGAGATAGCAAGGAGTATACCCTGAACAGTGAATAAAACAGTATTACCGGCCTAGAGAGCCCAAGCGGGGAAGGAGAAGAAATGAATGTTGGAAAAGTTGGTTAAAGTCAAATTGTAGAGGATTTTGAATGGCTATAGAATCTGTACTTTATTTTTGGAGGCACTGCAGAGCACTAAAGATCTTTAAGCAGGAACTAACATGCTACAGATAATTTGGGGAGGGGGCGGGGAAGATGGATATGACGTCATTATGTGAGATGGACGGGAGGGAAGGCAGAAAGAGCAGTTCGGAAAGTTGCGTGGATCTTTCAGGCATCGGGGTCCGTCTCAGTTGAGTTCACAGAAACAGACTGAGCAGATCTGCTCACAGGACGTTTATCAGCGAGTGCGGAGAGTTGGTAACAACATTGGTGAGACAGGGAGGGCTGGAGCTGGGAGGCCCCACAGAAGCCAAAACGAGGAAAGGGGCCCAGGCCTTTGTGTCCTCAGCTGAGTACAGCTCCTGAGAAGGACACAGCTCTGGATACTCTCAGCTGCTGGGAGAGAGAGAGTGCCCAGGTTCTGAAGCAGGGGTCTCGATGGGCACCACAGAATCCATTGTGGTAGAAATTAAAAGGATTTAAGATTAACACAAAAGAACTGAAAGATTGCTGTGACTGGTTTCATACAAGAGAGGATTCTAGCTTCACATGTGTTGATTCGAGACGGGGCATGTTCTAATTGAATTGGACAATACCAGACTTCAAAACCCAAGAATCTTTTTTGTAATTCCTAACTGGCTCCCCACCCACCCCCACCCTGAGCATTTTAACATTTTAAAATCCCATATTGCTGACCAGTCTCCTGCCACCCTGAGCCCTGGAGGGCATTGCCTCCCCTCCGCCCTGTTTGTTTTTGTCTCCTTTCTGCATTCACTTCCCTCCCCAACCAGTTTAGACTCCATGTTCTATCACCTTGCTCATTCCATTGCTAATCTCCTAAATTCCCTTTTCCTTTGTTCTATCTCAAGCCTCCTAGCACGCACAACCCTGGATAAATCCAAGAGTCCATGGTCTTAGTGCCTGCACTCAGGGATTGAATGACCACCGGAAATAAAAAAATCACACAATTGGCCAAATTCAGGACCACCAATTTCACCTGCCCTCAGCCCTGTCTGGCATACTATGTTTCCCTAGTTCGCTTGCCCTCCAATGCTTAACATTATTTCAAACCTTGTTTCCCTATGTTCAAGGCAACAATTCCCTTACCCCCCACCACCCACTTTCAGCAAATGACCTCTCCTTCACAGAAAAAAAAGTTAAAGCTTTCAGATGAAAACATCTTCAAATTATTGTTTTGAAACTTACAAACTTATTTATGTCCAAAGTTTGTTATTTTTCCTTTCCTTTTTCTGTTAAAATGGAGAGGTGTCTCTTCTATCTGCCTCTGTACTGGATCCCGCCCCAGAGCGTGTAGAATGGTGATTACAAGAAACAATGCCCAACTTCCAGTATCCTAACCAATGAGGACAGTTATTATCTCACCAAACAAGAATTACAGAGGCCAAGTAGTCTCAGAGTTGGTTCAGGAGCTCTGTGATGTCATCATAGACACGTGCTTTCTCTATTCCATTGTGCCATTCTTAGAGCATAAGCAATGTCTTTCCTCATGGCCACAAAATGGCTGCTGCAGCAGTACCAGGCATCATCTGCACACAACCACATCCAGCAAAGGAGGGTTGTGCTTTCTTCTATGTGTCTTTTTATTAGAAAAACTTTTTCTAGAAGTCCCCTCCAACCCCCGCAACCCACTTCCCACAAGGTCCTACTGGCTGCAAAGGGAGGTTGAAAGCAAGTATCTGGCATTTTTGCCTCCCAGTGCAAAGTGAGCTCTGCCTGGAAGAAATAATGGAAGACATGGTAGAAGAATGATGGCTGGATGGGCTATCAACAGAATTACCATTTAACCCATTTTCCTTCCTATCTTCATAGAAACCTCCCTCTTTTCTGTATTCAATCTCTCCAAGACTAGCTCCTTTCTATCAGTATTTAATCTTGTGTGAATCTCACTCATCTTTAGAAAGGCTGTCTTTCCCAATCTAAATTCCTGTCCCCCTAATGTCCTTTCTTCCTCCTTCCCTTCATTCTCCCTGACTCTCCTTCCTTACCTCCCTTGCTCTTCAACCCACTGCCATTTGGCTTCCACATAGAAGAATGAGAATTGCTTTTTGCTAAACTTTTAATTATTACTGTGTTTCTAAAAACAAGGGACATTTTTTAGTCTCATCTTAATTGACCCAATAGTAGCATCCAACATAGCTTCTTCTCACTCCCTTCTCAAAACTCTCTCTACCCTTGGCTTCTTTGGTATCACACACTCTTCCATGTTCCTCTACACAACCCCCCAACCTTTCCTTCTGAGTCGCCTTTACTGGTTTATCCTTTTTTATACAATTCTGTAAATGCTGTATAAATGAGGTCTTAAGACCTCAGCAATACTCTTGTCTCACCTGACCTTGCACAATCTCCCTAAGTGATAGTGTCTTCCTAAGTGATGGTATCCTCCAGTGCATCACTTCACGCCTTGCACAAAGAGAAATCTCAAATTCCTATCTAGTTAAGAACTGTTATCTGAGCTCCAAATCTAATATCCATCTGTCTATTTAACATCTCCATGTGAACGTCTCTCTGGCACTCCAAACACATGCCTAATATGGAACTCACACCTTCACGCACAACCTCCCCGCCGTCCTGCTCTTCCTTCAGTGTTGCCTATCTCAGTACCTCGCCTCCTTTATAATTTCTCAAGACAGAAACCTAAAATCCCTTCTTGACTCCTTATTCCTCAACTCCACATCTAATAAATCAACAAAATCTATTGGGTCTGCCTCTAAAATATCAAAAGTATCCACTTCTCCATCTCCCTCATACATAAACAAGAGCCTCTTAATTGGTCTCTTCCCATTCACACATTCCACTTCTACTTCAACCCATTTCATTGCCATGCTACAATTTAAAAACACAAGTCTTATATGTAACTGCTCTGTTTAAAATTCTTCAGTGGCTTTCTACAATCCTTAGAAAAATGTCCACAGTCCTTCACGTGACTTCCCAGGCCCTGTATGATCTGATCCTTGCCTACCTTTCCAGTCTCATTTGCACCCCATTTCCCTTTCTACATTCTAGCCACACTGGGTGTTTTTCAGTTCTTCGAGTGCACTGTCTTTGCTTGCTTCAGCGCCTCACAGTGCTCCTTCCTCTGCCTGGAATGGTCTTCTCCTTCACCTACCTAGATTTCCCCTGTCATGTCCTCATGAAGACTTTTTCTGACCCCATTAGTCCACGTTTGGTCCCATCTTCACTCGTAATTTATTCAGTGTCTGCCTTCCTCACTAGACTGTATGGTCACAAAGGCAGGGCCTTTTTCTGACTTCCTCACCTCCTTATCAATGCTAGGTACAATGCCTAGCTCCTAGTAGATGAGAAACAAACATATGATGAAGGAATGAAAAACTATGAATTATTCTTATAATAATTCTAACATTAGGAATAATTAAAGACATAGCTCTACTGGAAGAATTTCTAGGTTGATCAAATTTTAAGAAGACCATTTAAAGTTGATGTTAAAGATCAGCTCCAGTTTTTCCCGAGGAATGGTGTCCTACGTAAGCAACTGTCCATAATCAGTATTATGTTTCAGTTTATAATGACACTATATGAGATGCCTGATTGAAAAAAAAAAACTACAAAAATCAGAGTGCAATTTGTTAGCTATTTTTTAGGGAAAATATTTTTAGGAAAGGGGGTATTTCCATTTGTATCACCTCCTTTATTCTGCAAAGACTGGCAAATGGTTGCACTGCTGGAAGAGAAATTTAATTGATGTAGAATATATAATATAATAGCATACACAACTTTAAATAAATCATGCAAACCTTTAGCTAATAGTTACTAGAGACTATGTAATTTCATAAAAAAGTATTAAACACGGGTCAGTTTTCATTTTCATGATAACCAACCACAAAATGCCATATCTTGGTTATAGGACTTTGTCCCACAAAATTGGAAATAAAATCATTATCTATTCTCTTTTATGTTGCCGTGGAAAGTAGCTGGAAATTAAATCATCTATTCTCTGCGTTTGTGTTACTTTAGAAAGTAGCTGCGGCAATAGCATAACTTTTGTTTTGAGGTTTTGGAAAGATCTCTAGTCAGTGTCTAGGAAATCGCTGAAGGTCTGCATTCTACCAATTCCTTCTTCAGGCACATGGGCTATATGTTATTACAGAAGGTGATTGTTGCGATTTTTATCCTGTCTTTTCTACAAAGTTGGGCTGATAAATTCACTAGAAATCGAAGCTTTGGTGTAAATCCCTACAAAGTCCATTGGTTCCGTGTAGGGACGATTTCCTCCACATTTAAGGTCTCAATGAGGCGGAGACTAGGATATCCCGGTCAGAGAGTGACGTTTCCCTTCCTCCAGCGCAGTAGCTCTCACTAGTGTCCTCTGTCGCGGTGCCTGGGAAACTAAGCTACCTATTCCACACTATGGACGCGAACGAACCTAAGAAGACTACAATTCCCGTCATGCCTCATTGCAGGCGCTGCCGACGTGCCGTAGCGGTTAGTCATGCTTCTCACGGCCTCCTTCCACTTCCTGGACAGTGAGGCCTGAGGCCTAGCGGGCTCGCGCACGCACCGACTTGCCGACAAGAGAGGGCACAGGGGCGCTGAGTCCACAGCGACGTGTGGCGTCACGTGACGTGGAGCGCTAGCGCGCGTCCCGGGGGGCCGCTGACGGGCGTGCGCACTTGTGCGAAGCCGGAGGCGGGCGCCAGACCAGCCTGGGCGGCGGGGCCCGACGAAGACGAAGGGCGGGGCTAGCTCCGGGACCGCGGCTGCTACACACCGAGCGAGCGCCTGGGCCCGAGGGGAGCGATGCTGTGGTTCCAGGGCGCCATTCCGACCGCCATCGCGACGGCCAAGAGGAGCGGCGCGGTTTTCGTGGTGTTTGTGGCAGGTGAAGGGAGCAGAGGCCCGAGATGCGGCCGGGACACCCCCTCCGGCCTACCTCTTGTCCTCTTCTATACCTCGGCGTCCGCCCTCCCCGAGACGCGGGCATCTCTCGGCTCACACAGCCGGGGCTGCCCTTAATACCCTGCGCCCCGGGGACAGGTGCCACCATGCCGCCAAATCCCCTAGAAGAGTCGTGCTGTCCCTCAACGCCCAGCTCCGTAAGGCTCCGGGCGCTCCCTTTCCTCTGTGCACCGATAGGCCCGGGCTGCCTGCCCGTGGCTTCCCAGCGTCTCCCCGGTCCCTTTGGGAAACAGCGGGCCTGGCCCCCACCGCCCGCCTCTCCGGGCACCGACGCTGGGGGTGCTGCCTGTCCCTGGTCTCCCCGCGTTGGAAGACACTTCCCTGCGCGGGGACGCGGCGAGCAGGCCCTAGCCAGCCCCGCTAGACCCCGCCGGGCCGCGCACCTGCTCACCTGAGGAGTTGGCGCAGGCAGACCCCCCCCCCCGGCGCCCCTCTGAGTCCCCAAGAACATCCCTCTTCGAGATGCTTTAACGCCCTTTTAGTTACTAATGTTTAGGTTGGGGTAGCAACGGGCCATTGGGCAAGCAGTTGGCCTTGTAATTAGTTGTGGACTGTCAGGAAGAAAGCTGTGTCATCGATAAACAACAAAGAGAAACCACCTGACGTTCACGGTTACTGCTGTTAGTACGTTTCTGAAACGTAAACTTTGGTCATTTTTTTAAATGACAGCCTTGGGAGGGAGTCTAATTTGAAATAATTACTTTGTTGCGGGTTGATTTCTTTTTTTTTTTTTTTAACGGTTCAGTTCTTGGTTCTTTGTTTTGTAGTTTGCCTATACTAAAATCTATATATTTCGAGAACGTGTACTCATTTACTCTATGTTGCTCTGGCTTGTTTTGCTCCATGTTCTCCTGTTTGATTACTGAGATCTTGTAGATTTACAGTTAACCTTCTGCCTCTGTGGTTTTGCTCATTCTTATTGCATGAACCAAATCAATATTTGTGGTTCCTCTTAATTTGAGGTGTATTTCTCCAACTATTTGTGTTTAATAACGGTTTACTCATTCCTTCACGTCTTTTAATCCCTCTATAACTTTATGCACTGCAGTGAAAAATGAATGGCTGAAACGTAAATTTCATTTAGCATTAAATTTGAAGTTATGCTAAATTTTTAGCTCAGTGCCGTTTATTAGAAGAGCTTGAGTAGTTTGATTCTGTTATGCCGTTTTGGGGTTATATTAGTATTACATAAAGAAATTACTGCTGAAAACCTGTAAGAAAAAAGTGGCTTAAAAATGAAAGGAAACTTAAACGACTCTGTACTTATTAAGAGTACAGTAATAGGTTTATGACATTTTAAACTGTTTTTCACCTAAAATCTCAGTTGATCCTTGCGCTAGGTAGAGCAAGTTTTATATCCCCATTTTATAGATGAAGAATTTAGATCTATAGTCACAAAGTGACTTTGCACTAGGGTCACAAAAAGGATTTACATCTTAGTCAAATTTTTAGCAGCTTCAAAAAAAGCTGCTTTGTTTCTTAAGGGAAAAAACTGAATAATTGTAGGCTGTTTATGTGGTGACTTAAATTGGTGTGGAAATCTAGGACTATGGTAGTTATGTTTTTAAACAAAAAGCACAATTGATTGTGCCCAAACGTTCCTAGAAGTCACTCTAGAGGTAATCAGTTAATTTGACAGAAGAAATATTAGATTTTTATTAACAAATATTTGGAAACATTTGTAAACTCTAGTGCAAATTATTCAAATAGTTAATAATGTTACAGGTCTTGTACTTGAGGGGTTTGTGTGTATACATTCTTCAATTAACTTTTTACTGATGAACATGTATTACATGTATTTGGAATATTAATGACTCGTGAATGTTTGCAGGAAGATTTAGCAATCTCACAAAGGAGTCCTTTTGTCCCTTGGCCTGTTCGAAATACAGTTAGCTTTTCTAGAGTTTTAGCCAGTTAATATCCAAGACTAAGTAGGATTAGTGTCACTCTAGGAATATGTAGATACTGGACTCATAAAACTGCAACACTTAGAGATTGCTTAGAGTTTTGTTCCTAACTTTGAAGAATATAGCCAGAACTCATAATATTTCTCAGATCTGAGACCTCAACAATAATAGACCAACTCAATGGAAAGTTTAAAAGATACCTTTGTAACTGGAAGTTACAATTAAAACTTGCTCTACCTAGTGCAAGGATCATCTGAGATTTTAGGTGAAAAACACAATGTAAAAGTTACTGGAGTGGACTCCGGTACACTTTGGTTCATAGAACTATTCAAGTGGGGAACATTTTAGGAAAGTTGTCTTTATTTAGTGAAATTTTCATGGACGAATTAAAGAATATCATAGAGTTGATGTTAGGAGACTGGAGAGATGACTACTACCTCAGCCAACAAATTACAAAGAGTTTCAAAGTATTGCAGCTGTGCAAATTGAAAGATGTGAAGCTGAAAATGATTTTGATTTTATTCTTGGGAAGGAAGAATAATCTGACAAGGAGTCTAAAGTAAAGGTACCTGTTCACTGACTGATGTTGCTAAGAAGACTAAAATTTGTTAATGACAGACATCATTTAATGCCTTTTTTAGTTAATGTAAGACCACAAAAGCCTTTAGGTTTTGAGCAGTTGAGATTGTTTTAGATTGGAAGGGCTGGCTGTACAAGGATCTACAACTCTGCTTCAGAGTTTGTGCTGTTCGCTTTAAGTGCCCTTCACTTTGAGTACTGCTGATACCACCAAGGATACAATGTTTTCTCATGAAATCTTAGGCCCACTTAACTTCATAGCATACTTGATAATATGACTAAAAAATAAGAAACCAAACATACTAAAATTAGCAATTAATAATAATCACACTCAGTAGTATTAAGAAAGCTCTCCTTGAGTTGAGTAATTACATTCATCTTTCCACCTCTCCTGGTCAAGAAGCTGCTGCTGCCACTAGGCTGAGTCTTGGACAGACACTGTCAGTGGGGAGGAGACATTTGGTACAATATGGGTGAGAGAGTGAAAAGCACCAGCCTCACAAGAAGCAGATTTACGCTTCCAGCTACCTAGCATGACATCCTCATTTAAGTCATCATGGATTGTCAAGCCTAAAAGTGTATTTATTGCCTAAACCTGTTTTTTTCCTCCAGTGTTCTACGTCTAAGTAAGTGGCACACCATACATCCAGTTGGATAAACCCTAAGTGTGGGAGTCATCTTTGACTCTTCTTAACAACTCATTCTCATCTGTGTCCTGCTCCCGATTGTTCATGATATTCCCAATCACAGAGGCCTTTCCCTACATACATTTTCCTCCTGCTTGGTGAACTCTTCTGGCTCTTGGCGTGGCTCAGCTCTTTAACCTCAGAGAGGGGTTCTCTGACCATTATAAAGAGATCTCTTGTTATTTTCTCTCATAGTGTTTTTCATAGTATTTATTACTATAATTATAGTTGTCTACTTGTTTAAAATTTTCTTTGTATTATTAGATTTTAAGCTCTGTTGAGGGCAGTGTCTCATTTGTTTTGTATTTAGTGTATAGCCCAATGCCTGGAACAAAGTAAATGTGAAATAGTGAATGTTTGAAAGAATGAACGAAAGGGATTTCTTTTCATGGCTTTCTCTGAGAAGTGTTTATAGTAAGAACGTTCCCGTATAGCTGTTTTCTAGGTTAATAGTTGAGTCATTTATTTGGAATCTTATATCTTTCTTCACCCAATGATCTCTGAAGATGCATTCAGAATGATCTCACTTGTAAATGCTAATTTTTCCTCATTCTCCATCTTCAACATCTGGGAGTCTGCTAATGGGACATTCTTTTTGGTCTTGGTCTATGGATGCATTCTATTAATAGTCCCTGTTTACTTTTCCATGGCCTAATTTCTCAAACTCCTATTTTCTGGTATTCCTGGATCTCATCTCACACAAAATATATTCAGATATACAACATTAGAGTCAAGTATTACAGGTATGACAAGATACTTAACATTTAGCTATTCATTCCACAAAGTACTTACTGAGTGCCTATTAGATGTGAGGTTCTGTTGTAGGGATTTGAATCTTATGAGTAAATAAAATGAAAAACAATCCTTGCCCTCATGGAACCTTCATTCTAGTTGGGGAATACAGATAATACACAGTAAACATAACTAAAAGACATACTATATTATAAAGTAATAAGTAATACAGAAAAAGAACAGGAGATAAGGGGCCTTTGGGAATGACCTTACTGTGTAATTTTAAAGTGGGTGATTAGGGAGGGGTTTTTTGAGAAAGTGATATTTGAGCAAAGATTTAAGGTAGTTAATGGTTAACCATGTTGATAAAGGGGGGGTGGGGCGGTGGGGAGAACATTCCAGGCAAAGGAAACAGCTAGTACAAAGACCTTAAAACTTGAATGTCTTTCATAGTTGAGAAATAGAAAAGGAATAGCAAGAAAGCAAATGAGGTCACAGAAGTAACTGGAGGCCTGATGTGTGAAATCCTGTAGGCCCTTATGAGGACTTTGGCTTTTACTCTGAGGAGAATGGGGAGCTATCATTGTATGATTTTGAGCAGAGGGTTGATGTGATCTTTCTTTTTAAGGAAAATTGCTGTGTTATGAATAGACTTAGCAGGGAGATGAGTTTGGAGGCTACTGTAATCATCTAGGTGAGATGTGGTAGCTTGGATCACGGTGGTAAGAAAGTTGGAAGTGGTAAGAAATAGTTACATTCTAGATATATTTTGGCAATAGAGTCAACTGGAGTAAAGGATAACTAAAGATTTTGGCCTGAGAACTGAAAGGATGGTGTTACCATAAACAGATAACTGAGATGAGGAAGGCTAAGGGTGGATTAAATGGGAGAAGGAGGGTGTATCCTGGAAGAAAGCAGCTTACAAAAGAGTAGGTAGCCTGGCATGGTGACTCATACCTGTAATTCCAGCACTTTTAGCTCCCACATATGAATGAGAACATGTGATATTTGTCTTTCTATGCTTATTTCATGTAACATAATGGCCTCCAGTTCCATCCATGCTGGTGCAAGTAATAGGATTTCATTTTTTGTGGCTGAATAATATTCCATTATATATACACACACTACATTTTCTTTTTCTTTTTTGAGACAGAGTCTCACTTTGTTGTCCGGGCTAGAGTGCCGTGGCGTCAGTCTAGCTCATAGCAACCTCAGACTCCTGGGCTCAAGCAATCCTACTGCCTCAGCCTCCCAAGTAGCTGGGACTACAGGCATGCGCCACCATGCCCGGCTAA